GACGGCGGACGCTTGACGAAGACGCGATTTTGTCTGTGCTCGCGAGTTCTCGGACACCTTTACATTCCAACTCTGCCTCGATTCGGATCGTTACTTTAAAGAGCCACTATTTGCATATAGATATGTATACATACATACTTGCATCAATGCGTATTCCTTACGCTCAGTGCGCAAGTTTAACGATAATTTATTGTTTTGTATTTTAGAGTATAGGAAAAAAACGAACTTACTAATTCAATATTAATTAAATTAAATATACGCATGATAAGCCCCCTTTTTTATGCAGCATGTGTCCATAATGAAGTATCAGAAGTGCAACAAATGTGACGTCGGAGCGTGCAAACGAAGTATTTACTTTCAAGGTGTTAGGGTTTCCGTTTATCTCTATTTCTTTTTGGTAAAACGCACGCTCAGATATATACTCGGATCTTCTTCGTTAATCTTTAACATTTAGATTTAATGTTATGACAAACTCTTACTACGCGTATACTTTGCAGTACTGAAATGCTGTCTTCTGTGTCTGGTACAAATTTGACATGGCAGCAAATAGAGTAGAGAGAGTATATAAAAATTTTTTTGTCATAGTTTTTTACGACAGTGAGATTTGTTTTTCTCTCGGAAAATTTTTAATGCACGAAAGCAGATAAAAACAAAGATACAGGAGCTCTCGAATCTTTGGAAAAAAAAAGAAATATTTGCGAAATGTATAATTATACTATAAAAATCTAGCATACGATAAGAATTAACTGATCGTGGACACAGAATTAAGATAGAACCCTCTCGTTGTTAGTAATTTACAGAATTGTGTGTATCACATGATGTGAGCTGATAGATCCGACGAATTTGTAAATTAGCGGAGCATCTGCAAATGTTTGCTCAGCGGATTATTTTCTAAATTTAAATGTTATTAGATATATAAAGATGTGTACAAAACGCGTATATATACATATATATATATTTTTCTCGAGACTGTTAATTATTATTCTATCTGTTAACTATTTCTACTTGTGGAGAAATTGGATTAACGACATAATTTATGTGATAGTCAAATTTTAATAGTTTTATGTCAACATCATTGCGTTGACTCAGTTCTTCGTTTGGAAAAAATTTTTAGATGTATAATATTGTATAATAATGATTTGTTCATTTAATAGAGATACGTAAACGTTTATGATATTAGATTTATACGTATCCATATTTTTAACGAATTTATGAAGTTTGATAATTATAATTATTAATGACATGATGCAATTATGTTGTAAAATGAAAGCGTTCAGATGTATGTAAAATTATTTTTTTATTTTAAATAAAATTATTATGAAAACATTTCATCATTTTACGAATGTTGTACAAAACATTTGATACTTTTCGGACTCTTTCAGCTCTAATCATTGATACGATTTACTCTACTACTCTAGAAATAGTAAGGGAATGATCATACTTACTTCAATAATATAAATTATGATAATATTATTGTATATTATTAAACATATTTCTATTTTTGCGTGAATGCCTACGATTGTTAGTTGTTGGTTATTGTTATCTACTTGATGAGAGTTTTTAATGTTATGCGTACCGTGGGAAACAAACACAATATTAAATTCATAATTTTTTTTATAACATGCTGGAGTTACTATTCATTTCAGATGCCTATTTTAGCATTTTTGATTATTCAGGGAAGACGAGTTATATTTAATGATGCATTAATGCTGATGTGCAAGGAGCAATATCGAGTATGTAAATCGACTTTTTTAATTTTTTATTATATATACGAATTCAAGTTCATTCTTGATTTTAAGTAGGGGCGCAGATTAAAGAGCAGAGATTCTATTACCAAACTTATCATTTGATTGTACAATTGTTACTTCAATACTTTTATTGACGAAGCACCTGACCAAAATTACCTCTGAACAATCGCGCGACTAGCGATCACCTCTTCAAATTCCTCACAAAATATAAAAACGATGCTGTAAGTGACCATTAAGATTGGAGGGCGCGAATGAAGCTACCTGTGAATGAAGTTTCATATAAATATATAAATGTTATAAAAAACGGAAATATATCTATACATATATATAAATAATATATGAATATATATAAACCGAATTCTTTCACAAATACAAATGCAACAACCTCAGTAGATCAGGAAAAAGAAAAAAATGCGTTAACAAAGATAAATAACAGATTAAATGAGCTCTATGTCCTGCGATCAGATACATTATATAAGGTAAGAGGATTTTACAAGAGTGTGGTCTTTGGAATGCCGTGATGTTTTACTAAAGCATAATTAACACACTGAGCTTCTTTCGCGAAGCACCGTATTGGGAAAAAAAAAATGCTGGATCGTGTGTGTGTGTGTGTACCGAGTATACTTTAATATAAAACTTAAACTGCTTTTGCCATACTTCTTTGAAGTATCATTGAAATGGTACGATGCTCAAATCGTGTGTAGTAACAGTCTTATCTAGTAACAGTGTCCTAGAGTGGAAGAATTGGGTGCGCTGTGTAATCTTTCTCTGTACAGTAGAACAGCAATGGATATCACATTTTATTTTCGTATCTGTTGTATTTTCTTTGCTTTTATGTTATCTTGTACTTATGCAAATCCTGGATATACATTTTTGGTTGCATGCTGTCCCTTTTTCTTTTTCTCTTTCTCTCTGCCCTTTCAATAATTTCAACATTTAATTAATATATACTTCAACTTGTAAAATCCTTACTTCTTCTGTCACTCTAGTATTTAAAGAGTAAACGACAGGGCATCTTTTCATAGTATACCGAAACCCCTTTCTCTACGCACCCATTCTACATAGATCAGTACAAATAAGTTTAATAATAATAATAATAGTAATAAATAACAATAATAACGATAATAGTAATAATAGTACCGATAATGTTAATAATATACCGTTTACTCTTATCAAGCGCGTAAGGTATACTCAACTTAACAAGAAAAATAGTAGCAGGTGTCCTACTAAAAATACCGTACCTTTAACGAGCTAAACTATAAGCCAGTATATTACAATCTATGTATAAACGTCGTACAATTTACGTATGGGCAATCTCTAATTAAGAAAGTTAATAAGTTAACTCTTGTATGACTGCCATTATGATCAAATATTATTTCGAATAATTATCATAAAAATGCGATATGCTCCGCGGAGAATGGATCACTTTTTTTAATTATTTCTTCTGGCCCGCGCAGAAGAGAGAATGCACATTTATATACGTGCGAACAACGTACGCAAATGTTAATAATTTCGAAATTAGACTATTCTCTCGCGCGAGGACAACAAGGGATATTTAAATATCGTAGAAGACACTAGAAAAACACTCCGATTGCAAAGCCGATTGGATACTTCGTGAATTGTAATTGTATTGTCGATAAATGTTGAATGTAACATTCCACTTTACGGATAATCGTTAATCGGCGCGCATACGAATGCCTATAAAACATCGCTTTTCTTTTCTTTTTTTTTCATACACAAGTCTCCGATATGATTCGCTACCGTTTCGTCGAATTTTTAAAGTACCGCGACTTTGGATGTCTCCCTTGCTTGCGTTACGAAGGGATATGAGGCGATTGTACGATATTCTGTCGCAAATTGATATTAATTTATTTCACTGGCTTTAATAACCAACGACACTATATATGGTTGTGCTCCGTAGATAGCAAAGCAATATAATTAATTATATGTATGTGCACATGAATATATACACATTTATAATATATATCTTACATATATATTAATATATTATATGTAATATATTTATAATATACATATTATATATTTATTATATATATTATATATACATATATATTTTTTATGTGCATATATGTATGTATGTACATCCTTCAAGAGTCCAATTCTATCTTTTTTTAAGCTGTAAGTTACAATTTTGTTAAGTTAACGAGACATTTCTTGATTTGCGCATCCATTGTAGATTACGAAAAAAATCTGTCTACATACTTATACTATATTTACTACTAAACTATTAAGAAATACGCTTTTGTAAATGTAAAACGTACACCTTTTTTCAAATATAACGGTACGGCAATGTGCAAAGTATCACGTACGGAGGCGTCGAGTTCTCAGGTGAGGAGAGCGAATGTTTTAGGAAGAATAAGAGTAATATATTCACACACAGAAAGCGAGAGATGAGGGTATAAATAAAATATGTAGAAATGTAAGAGAGAGGTCCTGATGAAAGAGGTAAGCGAGAGAGAGAGAGAGAAAGAGAGAGAGAGAGAGAGAGAAAGAGAGAGAGACTGAGAGTAAGAAAGGATGAGAAATTGTTAGGGGCAAGCATGTGCAAAACAAGGGGAGTGATGCTATGAGTGTACTTGTACAACAGTATGGCTAGTAACAATCCCTGAGTAAAGAAATATAATGTACGGTTTCGCGCCAAGAGATAGATCGTCTATTCTGACTTATCTAAATATAATATTTTTATGAACTGAAAAAAAGACTCATATTTTTATACCATTTACAGATCCTTTAAATCTTTATTCACATTCTATGCTTATGACAAAGATAAATAAATCATAATTAATTGAATTTTCCTTTTTGCAATGTATTTATTAACTATTATTAGAGGCAAAGAGCATCATACTTCCGCTTATGAAGCAGTCAAAAGATCATATCTTTCGATTTATAATAGACAAATGTACAATATAATTGCTTATATATACATATATGTATATAAGTATGTAAAGTGCAACACACACACGCGCGCGTATATATATATATATATATATATGTATATGTATGTGGCACTCTACAATTTAAGAAAAAGAAGTTGTAATAATTAAAATAACAATATTTCTTGAAACATGCGATATATTTCATAAAATGTATATATAAATTCTTGGACGACTTTTAAATTATGTGATATAGCTTACGTAAGTTATATACATTACATTCATTATCTACAGGGAGCATTAAGGAACGAAGGAGGCTACAAATAAATACAAATGTGGAAAATAAATGAAATAAAAATTATGGAAAATTTTTTTTATTTATGATGGACATTAAGTCGAATATAGTTCAGAAATTGTTGTTCATTGATAATTAATTACGGATATTAACATAATTGTAAACACTTTACGTCACTGATGTAAGTCCATCACTGCAAGTTCTCTTTCCCCATCTTCCATTTTGTTTATACATAAATAAAATTGTCTAATATAAAAAAGGACAAAAACGAATACATTGTTACATACATTTTTTCGCAACTAATCGCTTGCACATTGTTTTCAAGAATTCTGTTGCCACTTTCCCTCATGTTACAAAGTATGTACAATTATTTCATCAAGAAATAGTCGCTAATGGAGATTTTATTTAATGTAAGTTGAAAATTAAGATTGGAAGTTGAATTATTTGTTTCACATTTTTAACTAAATTTCACAGCTTTCCAGCATGTGTGCAGTCTTGATTTCCAGTTTACCTGAAAAAAAAAAAAAAAACAAAAATAAAGATTAGTTATTCATGATCAATATATAATTTTAAAATTAAAATAATACGACGATTGTGGCATAAAGAGTTGCTGTTTCGATGCCAAAGATTCAGGTTCAAATCTCAGAAAGCAGTAATAACCAAGGATATCTTTATCATGATAACCTTCTAATAATAGGCAGTTAGAAAAACTCGGAGTGATAGCGTTAAAAACTAGCTCTTATCTATCAGTGAACATATGCAAAAGAGATCCAAGTCTCTGACAAGAGACAATAGATTTTGAGTCAAAAGACAATGAACTTTTTGAATCGAAATAAGATTTTATATTATAAAGATGTCTGGTTAATAGTAAACGCTACGTCTAGAAAATCGTCGTAGCGAGAATCTTATTTCCAATTTGATCTAACATGTTCGTGCAGTGACAAACACAAATAAAACATGCTGGTCACGAATATTTACATGTATATCTTATTTATAAGATAAATTCTTAATATTTTATTTTAATAATAATTATTGTTAATAATATTAATTAATAATTTATTAATTAATAATTTATTAATATCACTAACTACGTATAACTTTATACGTATAACTACGTATAACTATTACTAATAATAATAAGAATATAACTCACAAAATTTGTCCAGAATTTATTCAGTATCTAAAGATTACTTAGAACTTTTCTTCTTCAAGACCGTGTTTAAAGAACATGAGTACAGGCACAGAATCGCCATCGATTTCGCGGTATTCCATGAGACCCACGATTCCATCGATGTCCATTGAAATACCAGTGAAAAACTGTAATTCTTTGAATCGGCCTAAGATGTCCTTCATGACTTTGTTCATATTTGTCTTAAACACATCTACTTGATCAGGTGCCTTTTCTTCTAGCTTTGCTACTAATCTATAAAAAGAATTTAATAAATATATTTGTGTAATATAGAATACGTTATGTATATTAAATTTATGTTTTTTTATATATAAATAGATATAATAAAAAATTCATACAAATGTAACTTATCTTAATTCGTCAACTTTAAAAGCTTTTTATTTCTTAATCCTTAGGATTTTTAATTAGTTATTTCTATATAAATAATAACACGATACAAGATATTTTTTCAACTGTATACAATAGTAGAATTTTTCACTATTTTGTCATTACAGCTAAATAAATTGAAATCTATAAATCTATATACAAAGATACTTACTTCTTCATGTAATCTTTGAGGTATAACGTATAAGACTTTTTATCTCCAAAGGCAAATGTTTCCTGAAGGCGATGGTTCAATACAACGTCTACGCCAGACTCTACCGCTTCGTCTGTACCTTCATCAGCCTCCTCGGCAGATGGATTAAAACCAGCAATTTCAACATCACCCGCTTTACGAGTAACTAACTACAAGAATTAATTTTAAAAAATGTGTGTGCCATTATTCCTTGCACTTCATAAATATTATATATACAAACACACACACACACACACACACACACACACATATATATATATATATACATATATAAATGTATATACCTTCCCATATACTTCATATAATACATCGTCTATCAGCTTGATTTTGTAGGTATCAGAGAACATCTCGTCTCCTAAAATATATACAAAATTTTGTAATCCTAGACTTAAACATCTTAAACCTAGACTTAAACATCTCTTTTGGATGATATAGATTTCATAATTTTATGGTAACTAAACGAGTATATTGCTTCTGCAATCTTACGAATCTTCCAGAACATATGGAGAGGTTAGGAATTTAATAGTCATTTTATAGGGAAACTGAACTACAACATAATAATCATACTAATTTGTCGTGCAACATTGAAGCCTATGAGTATAATTTCGCACAGAGAAAGGTTGCAGAAATATTTTTCAATATGTTTAAATATCGCTGTGAAATGCTATTATCATTTAGGCATTTTATTGTGTCTTGGTAACGAAAATGAAAAATACTTGACTTGTGTGATCGCGGATGTCGTTTCTTATTTACTCACCGGTGAAAATATCTTTATAAATCTTCATAGTGGAAGATGGAGAAAGATTCAACTGCAGCTAAAAACTAAACAAGACACGGTCACCCAAAAGAGCGCACCGGAAAAGAAGGAGACTTTGGCGTTCTCGGTGAATGGTGATGGTCTGGAAGGTGTCGAAGAGTCGAAGTCGAACAATTTTGATTCATGCAGTATCGTTTCGCCATCTGGTGAGAATCCAGGATTTTTAAGGGCGGTATTAATAAATTACGGTCCAATTTCTCGCATCGCTCGTGAGCATCATTTTTCTTTATTTAACTGATAAACAACAAAGGTGAAATGATTCCAAAAATGTGAAGCCGGAAATACAATGAAAAGCACAGGTAATAAGAGATTGCATCCTATTAGAAAGCCCGTCTAATATACATAGTCCAATATAGATAGTTCATTCTATACATGGGGTGCAAGTTATGCATGAAGCATATCGTTTTATCGTTCTTTTTTTTTTATTAACAACAAGGTGAACAACAAGGACAAATGATGCATTATGCCGGAATCAGATTATGCATTGAAGAATGAGATTGAAGATTGAAAGATTGAAGTTTGACCAATCAGAACAAAAGAAGCTAAAATTTCTTTGTCCTCATTAGTGAAATTTCAATTTTTAATCTTTAATCTCAATCTTCAACGTCAAGTTCCGCTGCGCGGAAGTAAACGTTGCCGCGTTCTGTGTGTGAGAGCCATTAGTAAGTAATGCAATTAGTGCGAACACACATTTCAAATTGGAACGATACACGCCATCTTGGGATGCTGCCTCATCTCTTCAACCGCAGCAGGAAATAACGACAAAAGTGACGTCTTTACTCTCTCGCAGCACTGCCACGATGATTTCTGGAACGGTATTGACAATGCTGCCAGTGCTAGCAAACAATTTTAGAACACAGCTTGAAGACGTAAGGCAGTTAAAGCATCCAAGATGGCGAGTATCGTTCCAATTTGAAACGCGTATTCGTATAAGCAATTGCATGCTTACTAAAATTGGAACGTTGTTGGTTTCTTTATGATGACATACCTGTAGCGCTGGCAATCAATTTTGGAGCACAATCCTTGAAAGCCGCAGTAGTCGCAGTGTCAATATGGCTATCATATCGGTTCTACATTAGTTGCAAACCGATCGTAAGTTTGTTGCGACAGCCAATCTGAAGTTTGCATTTTAAAATTAACGTCGCTTCAGATTGATTGCAACAAACTTGCGATCGGCTTGCAACTAATATAGAATCGGCTTATAACGTCATTGAGGAAACTAAACGCTGTCGCAGCGCATTACTTAATAATAGCGGAAAATTGTTCCATTTTTTAGTACTGCTAGTATTGGCAATGAATAGCAGGGAACACAGGCTCTTGCATAACGTATAAAGTATTCAACCAATCAGAGTTCTTTATTTCAGTTCTGGAAAGAAAGGAAACGAAAATAATTGATTTATTTTCTTTGATTTTAATATCAGATCTGTACGATATCGGATATTAAGATAGTGATACTATTCGGATCCTAACTGAATATTAAAATACAATACTCTACGGATTCGAATTTGTCCAGATCCAATCTTTCAAATCCATTATCTCATAAATCTATTGGATCCGAAAGAGTATTTGTGAAATTACCGTAATCACAAAAAGATGTTGCCTTGATTCTATCAATGTCAATATTCTTGTCTTTCTATTCCAAAATCGGAATCTACTTTTTTAATTTATTTTATCGTTCAAGAAATATTTAGAAGTAGTGCGTGTATACTAAACTTTTCCATTTAAGCCATATTAAATTAAAATTATATTAATATATGTAAAAGTATATTTAGTTTATATTAATACATAAACCAAAATAAATATATAAAGTTTTTTTCCCTCACTTTTTTGTTATTTCTCTCACTGGCTTAATTTCCATCAAGGATTTAAACCGGATTAGAATATAAGAATCAACCAACTACATACAGTTTCCCTTGTTACAATCAAACGACAGGGGAAACTACAGGCTAAACTGTAATTGGTTGGTTCTTACATTCTGATTCGATTTGAACCTCAATGGAAACTAGGCCACTGTCTCTCGTCCTTTTTCATTCTCTCTCTCTCTCTCTCTCTCTCTCTCTCTCTCTCTCTCTTTCATGTCCTCATTTCGCTCTCCCATACATAAGTATAAACGCACCTTGTATGCATAGAGATAGAGAAAGATATATTGAGAAATCTGAAATCCGAATAATGAACGATTTCATCATTAAACTTTAATAGTTAGAATATCTAAACAGTTTGAAACAGATTCGGATCCGAAAGATCCGCTTCAACGGATATTTGAAGATTTATTTCTATCTCTAATATCCGGATAACCAGATAAATGAATAATCATCGACTCTAATATAAATGAAATGAGCGCTGAGAATAAATAGAAAAATTGTACATTTTTGCTTGATGATGACATAGTTTGTAAATTTATTAATTGGATTTTTGCTTTTTTCGTCCCGAAAAAAGAAAATGTTCTAATGCTGTTTATTTTATTTATTAATATAGGTTTTCCTTTTCAATTATCTCGATGGTATTCAACTTTTACCAGCATTTTAAGAATAGAATACTAAAATGATATTACCTGATTTATTTTATAACAAATAATAATTATACTAAAAAGTAAGGAACATCACAAAATATTTATACGAAAGAGAATGCTGATCCATATAATTATTAACAATGATTAATTCGTTGCATATAGATATGAAGTAAAGACTAAAAGATATACGTAATAAAGAATATTACAGAAAAAAATTAACGTGTTCATTTGTCTATTCTCCATCCATTTCTAGTTAATTAACTAAATAAATACTTCTATACTGCATATGAAATATCTATATCTGTATATGAAATATTTAAAAAGATAAAAAATATATTATAAAATTTTTTTTTTTTAATTATTAAAATTTTATATCTACAGAAAATCCATTTTAGAAACATGAAAGCATTAATTTTATAGTAATAATTTTATAATTTTTAACATACGTATACAAATAAAAATACATAAATAAAAACATAATCTGAATGAATATTTATAGCCTTTTATAAAATGAAATACAATTATCTATAAATTATTGATCTTTACTTAGACCAGTTAATTAAACGACAAAATATTTTTCTGAAATCATAATATTAAAATAAATGTATCAAGATGTTTATATTTTTAGTATATATCAAACACTACCATACATGCCATACATTATCAAAATTATTGAAAAGGGTTTATAATTATATTTGGTAAAGTAAGTTTTTTAAATGGAATAATATATGTGTCTAACGAAGTTCCTTTCAAAAAATATCTATTTGCGTACGTTGTATAATCACCTAAGCATAATTTAGGTTCTAGCGTACTTGTATTTTCATGTGATAATAAATTTATAACACCTGGAGGTATTTTACACGTCGAAAACATGTCATAATATGATGACGGATTACACAAGTTTGCATCAAACATTACAATTACAGAGTTGCCAGCAATTAAAGTTTGCATCAATCGAAAAAACAAAATATTTTCATTTTCCTCTTTAAGTATGATAACACCTAATGGCTTACGAGTATATAATACTTCTATCATTTCATTTTCAATGTGTCCTTGTATACTTTCGTAGAAATATGGAAATTTTATCCATCTTTCTACTATAGTTGCTAATACAAATTTTCTAAAAATGAAAAACGAAGAAATAATTGCTAATAAGTTATCAATAATAAACAAATATACATGCGCGTGTGTGTGTGTGTGTGTGTGTGTGTGTGTGAATGATATAGTATAGACATATATAAAAACTATTTTCGATAACTTTATTTACCCAGTCAATTTTAATAAGGGCATAAATCTAGATAATATTTGTATTCTAGCCTTAATAGACACATTACTCCAAGTTTCGAATCCTTTCTTAGCAGATTGATAGCATTTTTTTATATCAATGCTATAATAACAATATATACATTAACTGATTAAAAGTTTGATATTTAAAAAAATTTTTTAAATTTAAGTAAAGATTATAATATATTCAATTAATCTAATAAAATTTAAATATTAAGAAAATGTGTGCATTCTTACTGTGTTGCATTTGCCCATAAACTGTTATTATGCTTCCAATACATGCCCTTTATGGGCTTTTGCCAGGCACCATCATAAAAAAGATCGCCTACAGAAAAATCGTTTATTTTTACAGATGATAACTGTACTATATTCATACTGGATTCTTGATTAATTGATTCATTAATATTCAACAAATCCATCACATATTTAGTTCTCATTTGAAGTGTAGACACATGTTTATAAATCCAAAGTATAGTATTACCATAGAAATCCATATATCTATTTATAAATATTAGGTGCCTCTGAATAATTATGGAATAGAAAAAGAATTTTAATGAAATTCAAAATAATTCTCGGCAACATACTATTTTTAAATAATTTAAATTAAAATAATATACATTTATAGATAATGCAAAATTCTTCGCAGCTACAATATCTTCTGACCATATAGATACTACATTTATTTTGTCATCACATGGAAAAAATTGAATATCTTTCAATGATTGAAATGTATCAATAGTTATGGATAATTCAGAACGATAATTCTTTATGAGCCATATAAATTTCTCATTTACTCGTTTTTGCACCCATATTTTATATAAAGGAAAATGGTCTGTTATTATTAAACAATTAATAACTGCATATAAATCCGAATCGTCTAAGATTATCATTTCATTCCTTGTATAAAATTTGTCTGTATAAATACATTTTATATAAAAAATTTTAATTATAAGACAAAAACATATTTTTATAAATAATACACATTAAATAATACAATGGGTATTTTCCAGCAAGAGACAGATGACACAGTGAGTAGATCCAGTGAATCATTTCATCTTTGTTTATTATTGAACAATAAGGATATTGAACAATAAGGATGAAACAATTTTCTATGTTATAATTATATCAACTGTCTTTGTTGGAAAATATCCAATATACATTATGAATAAACGTTTCTTTGTTACCGTTTATAATAGAATTTATTCCATCATTTAGGTTCATGATATTCTGTGATATATCTCTAAAAAAATATAGAAAAAGATATTAGAAAAAAATTTATAAAATATTAATTTTAATATAAAAATTTCTCGATAAATAAGTATGAGAATAACTACATTAGTGAAGAGAATTTTTTATATATAATTACATAAAACAATTTAGAAAAAATGAATGCATCACAGATCCTGTACATATTGTGATGAGTGTAATCACTAACAAACTGGGTATTTCATCAAAAACGTAGTCTACAAAAACATTAAAAGTATATAGAAGTTATAAAATTTTCATAAATAATCAACTTAATACGTTCGTTATTATGTTATCTGTTATTCTTACTTATCAGAAAAAAAACTAAAAATATAAATAACATAAATAATATTTTTCAATTGCAAATGCGAGAATAATATTACTGTAGGTACCTAAAGATATTAAAGATTTATCAGCGATTATATGAGAATACTCAGTTAAATAGTGTAAAATAGTAGTAACCATATCTATGTGTTTAAAAACAGATGAAAAAAACGACATGTTCTCATATATTGTCTCTGTCAGTATCTGCAATCTGTGCAGAAATGAGAACATTAAATTAACAAAGAAAGCAACCTCTATGTCTCTTATTATTTCCATTTAAAAATTTTATCTTTATTTACCTCGTTACCATATCATCATTACATTTAAATTTATATCTGTTTATCGTATCAAATATATCATTTATCTTCTTCAGTTCCTAAAAATACGCACATAAAGCAGTATTACAAGTTACATATAAAAAATGAAGATTCTTTTAGCAATAATATTAAATCTCACAAATTATCAATAATGTATTATTATATACTGCACGTATTATTATACATACTCACTTTTTCTTTTTTATCATCATAATTTAGATTAGTATAATATTTATTTAAAATTTTCACTTGCTCCATTAATGCTAATCTAATTCTATAATGAAATTTGTAAGAAGAAAGTAAAGTTACAATCGATCGATATCTTTTTATGAAACAACACAAATTTACAGAACGAAAAGAGCTTTGAAATTTCTAGAAAATATAATATTCAGACTTAAGAAGTAGGAAGCAAATTACATGTTTGTTTACAGTCATGTGACATTCGCAACATGAAGATATGTCTAAATGATATCTCAGTATATAATAAGTAAGGAACACTTTTCATCAACAAACGTTACAACGTTCCTAAAATGTTGCAGAAATGTCCCAAAATGTTTCTTGCTTACTGGAGAAATTCTTTCAATAAAGTTCCTCGAGAAATAATTCATCTGTTCCTTTTGCTATTACGTTTTCTTCCTCGAATTTTTGCTATTCGTAACATAAAGCATTCGTTAAGGAATAAATCTCGATTTTTTAATCATATCTAAAAATCATTATATCGACCTTAACAAAAAAAATTTCTCACATATTTTGTTATTTCATAATATATAATATTTTTTATTACCTATCACTTTAGCTCATATATAATATTTTTAGAAATTCGTTATGTTTTAAATATATGAACATTTTTGAAAAAGTATATATTATTAAACTTTCTAGATTTCGTAAGTTTATTTTAGAAATTATAAAACGAGAAATTTCAAAATATTTCAGAGTTCACATATTATATAAAGAATTCTAGAAAAGACATGAATATATAGTTTCCCTTATACTCTTCCTCTGTTTCGATATAATATATATTAATATAAAAAGAGAAATTTTCTAAAATGTATGAAATTATACAAAAATTCTGAAAAATCCTGAAATTTAAATAAAAGTTCTAAAAAAATTATATGATATTTTTAAAAAAATTTCATCAGAAGAAAACAACACGAACGTGTTCGAACAATGCGGTTCGAAATACGGCAATAATTAAAGATTGGGCATTGTGTTTATTGGTTCCCGCACACGCGGCTACGCTTGCCGCGCGGCAAAAATTATCGCACTAACTAAATAATTCTATGTTCTTAAGTCGACTTTACCTTGCACATCTTCTAGAAATGATGTAATATTACTTCCGCCACGCGACAAAAATTTGATTGAGTTCAACTTTTGTGCATAGTGGAAGTTACATATCTGTTATTTCCGAGCAAGCGAGACGTTGATTGGATATCGCACTAACTTTCGCCACATGGCAAGCGTTGCCGCGTTCTGTGTGTAGGAGACTTATTATAGACTATATTTTAAAATTTACTGTCAGTTCTGAAAGTCTAAAGTTGACGTCACGTGTACTATAGATTTTTAGTACTAACAGTAAATGTTGAAACACATACAGTGAGCTCGCTCTCTCTTTTCAGCGTCAAATATATATCTATCTCATTTTAAGTGTAAATAAGTGTAAAGGCTTAAACATAATAGGCACAGGCAATAGGGAATGATGAGGCGTCCAATCAGAGCTCTGGAATATAATATCGAACTTACACTCCAGAGCTCTGATTGGATGGCTCGTTATTTCCTGTTGCCTGTGCCTATTGTATTTAAGCCTTTACACTTATTTACACTTAAAATGAGATAGATATATATTGTTATATATTGTATATATTATACTGTGTTTAAGCCTTAAAGAACTTTGCACAATAAAAGGAGCAGAGAACAGAGAATAAGAATTTCAATCTATCAGAAATCATGTATTGTGGAATATACAGTTTCTAATAAGTCGAAATTCTTATTCTCTGTTCCCTATTTCTTTTATTGTGCGAAACTCCTGAGCAAGACAAACAAACCTATTGCACTGTTCGCGCACCAGTTCAGACAGTTCAGATAGAATATAGAACAGACCTCCAGAGGCGCTTAGAGGGGAGGCACTTTATCCTATCGGTAATTGACACGTTTGGCGCATGCGCAAGAAATGTTCTCGTCAGATTGTCCGATGTTATTTTTTCATTGCGTTTCTATACTGCAACATTTTGTAAGAGCAGACAGCTCAGAGAGTTGGTTAAAGTTGATCCGATAAACGCTTGTTCATATACGTTTCTTTTATCGAAGGTTCTGGGTTGCATTGCGAGTCAGTAGCTGCGGATCATTTCGATTTCAGGTAAGCGATTGATGATTATCCGTTTCATCATTACGAAGATCTGTTACTGTTGCGCAGATTAGAAATTTCTGCTTTCTATCGACGCCATAAGTCCTTCCATTTTGTCAAGTTAACAATTCCTTTCTCGTCGTACCTTGTAATCGATTATATTAGATTTGCAAGATTTAACTTGTTCGTTTACCTTGAACATGTAAAATAACACTTTAGGTTTGTCCTATATTAAATTTAGTAGATAGAGTGTCACAGAGAAGAATGTTGGAAATTATTTTGTCTTGGAAGGACGCCATTATGTGAACAGATGCTTTGTAGAGATTGTGACCTGCAAATCGTTCGTTGCTATGAAGCGTACGTGTCCGACCTAATTTCTTCGTTAATGTAACGCTTTGAAGCATTTATACCGTTAAGTTAATTTCAATTGGAATCTATGACTACGATGTACATTATAAAGGTCGACTCAAAATATATAAATCTGTGTAAAAAAGAAAAAAAAGGATATTCCTATTTGATGACAAGTATTTTTCTATTTTTGTCACTCATTAAATGCTGAGAAAGATGGAATGATATTTATGTTACTACCCAGCAAACAAGGATGGATTGAAATGAATTTAGATTTAGATTTTCAGAAATATTGATTCACGAATGTTGAAGTAAAGAATGCTTTTCAATCCTAAATGCATTTTTATTTATAGGAATTGCATGGAGTATATCTCTATGCCTTTCAATCTAAAAATAATATTAGCTTTTTTTGTGCATATTTGTGAATATTATTCAATTTAAAATTTTGAATAGAAAATACAATTTTTCAATCCAATTGCATCAATTGAATTCAATTAAATCCAAAAAAAAGTATTCGCTATTTAAAATACACACAGAAAAAAAATTTCAATCCATTTTAATCCATTCTCATTTGCTAGATAAATAGAAACATTCAAGATAATTTTATTAGTGAGAATATTGTTGGAATTAAACGCTGTAAAATTACCATTCTTATTTTTTCTACACTGAATTAAATCTTTTTATTCTTAAACTTATATTTTTGCAGCTAAAACTTTTAATGGATGCTTTTCATTTACACAAATCAATCCAAATATTTTTCTTGTCATTTCATAAATAACAAAAGCAAAATGACATTTGTTGTCAGCTTGTGTCCAAATAAAATAGAAAGCATATAATTATTATATTGTGATAGAATTTTACTATTAATGATACAAAGATTATATTAGACTTATACTATTATAATATAATATTATATATGTTTTTTGTTATTTACAGATTCATCATGCAAATCTTTGTAAAAACCCTCACTGGAAAAACCATCACCCTTGAGGTGGAAGCTTCTGACACTATCGAAAATGTCAAAGCTAAGATCCAAGATAAAGAAGGTATTCCTCCAGATCAACAACGTTTGATCTTTGCTGGAAAGCAACTAGAGGATGGCAGAACTCTTTCTGACTACAACATTCAGAAGGAATCTACGCTTCATCTTGTTCTGCGTCTTCGTGGAGGCATGCAGATCTTTGTAAAGACTCTTACGGGTAAAACCATCACCCTTGAAGTTGAAGCCTCTGACACAATAGAAAACGTAAAGGCCAAAATTCAGGACAAAGAGGGAATTCCACCGGATCAACAGCGTCTGATTTTCGCCGGCAAACAATTGGAAGATGGTAGAACTCTTTCCGATTACAACATTCAGAAAGAATCCACGCTTCACCTGGTTCTGCGTCTTCGAGGAGGAATGCAAATTTTCGTGAAAACTCTCACTGGTAAAACCATTACCCTCGAAGTCGAAGCTTCAGACACCATCGAAAACGTAAAGGCTAAAATTCAGGACAAAGAGGGAATTCCACCGGATCAACAGCGTCTGATTTTCGCCGGCAAACAATTGGAAGATGGCAGAACTCTTTCCGACTACAACATTCAGAAAGAATCCACGCTTCACCTGGTTCTGCGTCTTCGAGGAGGAATGCAAATCTTCGTGAAAACTCTCACCGGTAAAACCATCACCCTTGAAGTTGAAGCCTCTGACACAATAGAAAACGTAAAGGCCAAAATTCAGGACAAAGAGGGAATTCCACCGGATCAACAGCGTCTGATTTTCGCCGGCAAACAATTGGAAGATGGTAGAACTCTTTCCGACTACAACATTCAGAAAGAATCCACGCTTCACCTGGTTCTGCGTCTTCGAGGAGGAATGCAAATCTTCGTGAAAACTCTCACCGGTAAAACTATTACTCTCGAAGTCGAAGCTTCAGACACTATCGAAAACGTAAAAGCCAAAATCCAGGATAAAGAAGGAATTCCACCGGATCAACAGCGTCTGATTTTCGCCGGTAAACAACTGGAAGATGGCAGAACTCTTTCCGACTACAACATTCAAAAAGAATCCACACTTCACCTGGTTCTGCGTCTTCGAGGAGGAATGCAAATCTTCGTGAAAACTCTCACCGGTAAAACCATTACTCTCGAAGTCGAAGCTTCAGACACTATCGAAAACGTAAAAGCCAAAATCCAGGATAAAGAAGGAATTCCACCGGATCAACAGCGTCTGATTTTCGCCGGTAAACAACTGGAAGATGGCAGAACTCTTTCCGACTACAACATTCAAAAAGAATCTACACTTCACCTGGTTCTGCGTCTTCGAGGAGGAATGCAAATCTTCGTGAAAACTCTCACCGGTAAAACCATTACTCTCGAAGTCGAAGCTTCAGACACTATCGAAAACGTAAAAGCCAAAATCCAGGATAAAGAAGGAATTCCACCGGATCAACAGCGTCTGATTTTCGCCGGTAAACAACTGGAAGATGGCAGAACTCTTTCCGACTACAACATTCAAAAAGAATCTACACTTCACCTGGTTCTGCGTCTTCGAGGAGGAATGCAAATTTTCGTGAAAACTCTCACTGGTAAAACCATTACCCTCGAAGTCGAAGCTTCAGACACCATCGAAAACGTAAAGGCCAAAATTCAGGACAAAGAGGGAATTCCACCGGATCAACAGCGTCTGATTTTCGCCGGCAAACAACTGGAAGATGGCAGAACTCTTTCTGATTACAACATCCAAAAAGAATCCACACTCCACTTAGTTTTACGACTTCGTGGAGGTGTGTTCCTGTGAGCTGAAATCTACAGAAAGATTCGCTAGTCGCAAATTGAAAAAGAATAGCATCAGTAGTATTGAGGTAGCATTTATATATTTAACGTTTTTTTTTTTTAATTTATGTTTCAAGTAGCTACATATACTTATAATATTACTTTGAAAAACATTTATGTTGAAGTCTAACAAGAATGTAAGAAAATGTAATTCAAATATATATGCAAATGAATGCATTCTTGTCTAATAAACATTAAATTGCATTAGGATTAAGCTCGAATGATTTTCCTATAAACTTCCTATAAAGTCCAATCAAAAATTTCCTTGTGTATTTATTATATATAAGTTCGCAAATATAATTTGTCGTATTACTTGTGATACCTTTATTACAATATAAAATTTAAGTTACAATATATGGCTCCCTGAGAGAAACCTTTATTACAGAATGAAATACTAAGTTACGTTTTAGTAACTTAGTTACTAAAAGTAAATAATCTATATTATTTAATTTTTATTGATTTTAATGCTCAATCAATAAATGAATAAGTTATACCTTCCAAATATTTGATATTACAATCACTTGAAAAATGAATACTGATAAAGTTACAAATTCGACTATTTGTTCTTCACTTATCAATAAATACAAATATCAATATATTTTCTGTATTCTTAGATTTGGAAAAAAAAAGATAATCTCTCAAAAATATTTATGTTAACATACAATGCACGCGACATAATGGAAGCTTTCCAGCAGAGGCACAAATCGATACAAGAGTCATTCTATCTTATTGATTATCGAATAAGGATAGGATGATTGTTAATTTGTATCTTTTGCTGGAAAATTCCAATAAAACAAGTTCGATGAAAAATTGCACTGATTTGCTGAATATATATACAATTATATACATGATGATTGTCACACGTTGATTAACACACAATTATGTATCCAGTCTAATGCAAATGATATTCAACGCAGAAATTAAAATTTTGTAGAGTCATATCATACTAATGAAATAATTTACGTACTGATCATACTGATAATCTCTAAATAAGTACAAGTCACATAGGATAGCTTTTCCATTGCTGTGCACTTTTTTTTACAAGTTTTTCTTATCATCTTCATAGAACAATAAGTATTCTATACAGGTCCTGTAATAATTAATAATTATATTATTGTGTTGCATATTCTATTATATTTTAAAAAATTAACGGCTTCAATGTGATTATGCGATATTCACCTATAAAACTTAACAACACTGGTAAGAATATTAGACCGTGAGCCGCTCCAAACAGAACAATTCCCAAATACATTCTGAAATAAAAAACTCGGAAAATCTGTGTCTTTGCAAACGCCAGTACCACGATTCCCACAAATTTGGTCAAAGTAATCCCAGAGAATACCTGTGAAATAGCGTGAAAACGGATTTATATACAAAATATATTTTATCCAAGAAAATTAGAGATTTTCTTTTGATGTATTTAAATTAGAAAATATATCGGTTGTGTTTCACGACATTTGATTGGACTTACAGAACTTCCCATGACGGAAAGAGCTTCCGATGCTTTACCGATCCTTGTCGTCTCTACAGAAGTAATGTAGGAGTGCACTATATGGCTGCAAAATTCTACGGAGATACCGGCCGCCTATAAAAATTCATACTTTAGTACATAATAATAACGTAACAAATTTATTATATAATTTAACAACCCATTTTTAAAAATATTTTAAACATATACATATATCAATTAAATAATGATAAAATTTTATATCGTAATCTGATAAACAAATAAATATTCTTATATAATGATATTATCAAATTTATGATAAAAATAATTAATTATTTAATTATAGGTGATATCTCATTAGAGAACAAGCAAAAATAAAATAAATACACGAACCATAACTAAATTTACGAGAGAAACTGCATTCAAACTAATGTTCCACCAATACATTAGACCCGCCAAATTGATTATTATCATCAAGACAGTAAGAACGACTATCACTGTGGAGAATAATGATATTCCTGTGAAAAATAGCGTCACCACGAAGATTACAGCAAGAGATAAACCTATCGATGATAAGGTTTCCCGCCAGATAGTTAAATACTGCTCGTAGAACACATAGAATATACTGAAACGCGCAATGAAAAATTTATTCGATAATACAATAGTAAGAAAAGTATAAAAATTTAAAAAAATTGGCAATTTATATTTACGAGGTTACCAATTTTTCAAATTAGACGATTGTAAAAGCATAGAATTCTTTTAATTTCTTGAAATAATTTAATTTCTTTTTAATTTCTTCTTACCTATATGGAAATACATGGATTTCTTGATCAGATACATTAGCATTGTTAATTGTATTTGTGATGTTTTCCGATATTATTCTGGCAGCTTCCAGTGCTTCGTACCAATCGGATGATTTTTTTAAGGGCGTATGGTAACCCATGAAATATGAATTATTCACATTTGTTAGACCATACTCGTCGTAATAAAAGTTTATTGCCTGTTCAAAACAAAAATTTTTATTAGCATATTTTGTTTAAAAAAATCTAATTTTTAGTTTTTGTTGTTACGTTTTTAGAATTGGAAAGAATTTATTTTGTGCATAAAAATACTCCATTCTTATCAAAATGCGATGAGTCTTAATAATATTGACTTACATCGAAATAAAGAGCTTTGCCAGCTTTGGCGCATTTTTCGTCTGGAATGTCGTTTACGAAATACGGGATGTACTTCCTGAAACCTGTTTCATTCGGACGGGAGGTATCCTGATCAATGATAATCCCGCATGGCTTACAGTCACCTATAAGTTATTTTATCATCAAGTTAAATTTATTAGATTAATAAGAAAAAAAATTGCGTATAAGGTTAAAGAGCATGGTATTATTATCCAAAAATTGATATTACATACGTAACATGTATATTAATATAATAATTTTGAAATATGATAATACATACCATTAGTGTGCAAACAGTAGGATTGGTTGTTTGTATAATATCTGCAGCAGCTACCAATCGACGACCAATCGAGGTAATCATCTATCCAAGATGAAGCTGCTTTAGATAAATAGGATCTGCAATAATTAATAGATAAAGTTCTTCCTGCATGAATGATATTTTCAAATATTGTTAATTTAGCTACAAAGTTACCCAGAAAATAATTACAAATGCCAAATTGATTAGCAGTAAAAGAGCATAAAATTACTCTAATAAAACAAATAGATATTTTATGTTAGAACACGAAGTAGAAAAGAAATAAATGCATGGGAGAGTAATGAACCTCCTCATGATCATTAATTTACGTTAATTTGTATCGTCTTTTTTGATGGCTAAAAGATTAGCCGAAACGTCTATATACATATATATGTTTATAATATTGGATTTATGAAATAATAGCGCAATTACTACAGCGCCAATTCTCATTAGCCCATTGTCTTCGTTTATTTATTTTGTTAATTTTTTTGATTTGCAACACATTTTTTGGAGATTTCTTAAATTATAAGAAATACAAACACGGAGGATTGTTTGGCAGCCGAATAAATCTGTGTATACAAAGAATCTGTGTTGCATCCTTGACCGCCGCATATGACGTTTTGTACTTCCTTCTTGCTATAATTCAGGCCTTCCGTCACCACAAAGTATACAGGTGGTCCCATCGAAAAGAGATCTTCCATATACTGAAAATATAACAGTCATTTATAATTATAATGCTATTTATAACAATATTCCGTATAATAAATGAACATGATATTCTAAAAATATAAAGTAAATGCCTTTTCTCGAATTTTAATAAGAGAAAAAATATTTCTCGTTTCGAGTTTTAAGCGATAAAATGATTGCACGCATTGAATTGTAATAATTATAATATTTCGATTTTCATTGTTTTTTTCGAAAATAACTCTTTACCGTAAAGTATTTGAGAACATAAGAGTCTTCGGGCATCGAAAGTTTCTGATTCAGACCAATCTCCATCTGCGGAAAAACCATCATATGAGTAGCGAGAGCGGCGATGAAGATCACTATGACGACAACTCTGACTGGCGTTTTCATTAGAAATGGCGTGTAGGTGTGCTCGAAAATTGCGTGAACAATACCATCGCGTTCGTTGACATTCGAATTATTCTTGATGGAAACGCAGCAGAAAACGTCCAGGCGATTATTCTAAAAAATATCAGTCTGCTTTAAAAATTGCACAAGCTATTTTGAGACTCTCGTTAAAAATTAAAATATTGATCGTTATTAGGATATTAAAATTTCTTTCAAAAATAATTATAAAATTTCTTTCGAAATAATTATATAATGTGTGAATATAATTAAAATAATATCAATTTGCATTTGTATATGTATATTATTAACTATTAAAGACACGATTTCTCTCACAGAAAAACTATTAAAAATTGTTAAGTAAATTGTTTGTACAATTTACCTCAGCTCTTCGTGAGTCAAGCGACAATAAAGCAACAAAAGCTGTTATTTGAAGGAGAAAATTGATTAAAATCGATACCGAGGCGTACATTGCAAAGGTGTTGACCGCTGGCATTGCAGAAAATGCTCCTGAAAATTTTTAGTTTTTACATTAAAATTACAAACAAAAGAAAAGGCTCTATTTTTCTTTATTTTTTAAATTAACTGTATGTTATATCTTTACGTACCAATGAGGAAACAGCAACATTCGGATGTACTGGTAAGCAACATTGAAGGTCCGACTGCAGCCAGAACTCTACTGATGTGCTCTGGAATTGTTTCGTCGACATCTCGTGGATTTCTTTGATGATTTTGCACCAAGATGAAAATATTGTCAACTCCGACAGCTAGCACTAAGAAAGGAATTACCTGAACAATAATTTACCATTAAATTGTTGTACCTATATAAACGTCTCTATTATTAATACAATACAATGTTTAAACTATCTAAATTACATTTGATGAATATAGATTTGATGAATGTTTAATTTTTTTATCATCCATATTAATTTTGTATTATTTAAAAAACATTAGGAAATAATTTACTTACTTTAATATTTTTTACAAAATTATACACTTATTTAAATTTTATTACAATAATTTGTTTTCGTATTTGTAAGAAATTTACGTACACTGTTAAATGTATATTATATTATTCTTCAAATTAATTGTGATACCTCGATTGTGAGCAGAGTAGTTGGTACGCCAATATAGCCGAAAATACCAAGAGAACAAGCGACTGATGCTATAACTATGATGATTCCACCGACGCTCAATACGATTCTGCTTTCAGTCTAAATTG